TCGAGCTGGGTCGAGCTGTACTTTGCCTACAGATTAAACATCACAGCAAACATAAAGTCTGCTGAAAACCATCTTTAATCTGACTGCCTTTTATCGGTCTGCTGTTCCGTCCCAAGATGAAGGACACTTCAAGATTTAAAATAATCATTTATAATAAACTCTTTTTACTGCGTATTACAAGGTTTATAATAATCATAATAATCATCATGGTTCATTATAAATGTATTTAATTACTGAAATGACTCATTATTCTTTGGTTAATAATAATTATTGTTTATGATAATCAGTAATGTTTAACAGTGTGAAGAAGGTCATTTGCACTTGTACACACCATGCAGAGGGGACAGACCAGGGTAAAGGTACCTTGCTCTCACATGACTTTTCTCCATAACAACAAGCTTTCTGTCTCTGAGAGGGCGTGTTCGGAGGTTTTGTTAAAACCAAAAACTCCTCGGTTCAAGTTCAGTTCTGAACCAACCAGAAGCTCTCGGTGGCACGAGAGTCCATGAGGATAAGGGTCGGCCGCCCTGAAGCCTCCACCTGAGCTGTTCTGTCCCGCCGATAGAATCGCTCCGAATAAACGCACCTGCAACCCGCTGACGCAAAACTCCTTCAGAGTTGTTGATTTTGAGACGCAACTAGTTTCATCAGTCGTTGTGACCCGGAGACATCTCAGGACCGATTTGGTCGCACCAAGGTCCTTCTACCAACCTCGTGCTTGGGGGTTCATCATCTCCACCTGACATCTCAGATCCAACAGAGGGTCTCCTGACTGGGTGAGGTAGACACTTCCGACAGACGGCATCTGTGTGCTGTTCTCTCTAAGAAACAACTTAGTTAGCTGCAAAACAACGTTTCCACCCAGAACGCGTTCTCTCTCTGAAAGAAATCTTCTGAGATTCCATCCACGCATCCAAACCCACGCATTCCACTTTAGTCTCCATTCAGACACAGGTTTGCTTTTAATACCAAGTTTAATATCAAAGCTGTTATAAAATGTCATTTTTAAATAGTCATGTTTAAATTGTTAGTAATAAATTCTTAACTTTTTAAACCTGACTCTTCTTTGAAATGAAACACAGAATGGTGTATACTTGGTTATTGAATAAGCAAAGATTCCATTAAGTCTTCTGTTTAATAAATAAACTTTTGCTATTAAATTTCTTGAATTAAATATTAATCTTTGGATTAAATATAGACCAAGCAGGTTGGTGTATGAACTTCTATCGATTGTATAAATATCCTGGATATTTTTACATGACATAAGCTTCATGTGCAAATTTGTCTGATCATTCTCAGAATCTACAAAGCTGATAGCAAACAGTGTTAATTCTAGTATGTAGATTGTCTACGCTACACTTTGCATTCATGAATGATGGGTTAAAGCGGTGGTTCCTAACCTGGGGGTCCCGACCCCCACAAGGGGGCGCCAAAGCCTCTCAGAGGGTCGCCAGGACCTCTCCACTTTAAGGGGTTAAAACTTCATTTATTACATGTTTATAGCCTACATTTTGCTCACAATTTTTTTCATAAGTGAAAAGTTTACTGATATTAAGACAGGAAATAATTAGTACAGAAAATGTAACACACTTTTAAGAACATTTTACTCAGCTCACTGTTTTATTTTCAAGTGTCAAAAGTTCATTAAAGATAGGACTGGTTGATTAATCACAGACCTTACAGTAAATAATCTAGTATAAACAGTAATATACACGTTTAAGTACATTTTGCTCAGTGTATTTTTTATGTGTCAAACGTTTATTGAAAGGAATGATTGATTTATCGGTGTTTACAAGAAACAATGTGTTCAGAAAAGTAATACAAACTGTCAAGCACATTATGCTCTGTTTGGTTTTGTTAATGACTTTGTTCTGTACTGGAGCCTAATATTACTGTTATCTATTGAATCAAAGCATATTAAAATGTGCTTGAACAATTTTATCATTTCTTAATACTGTCTGTACTGGAAGAGAGAATGGGAAGGGGTCGTCAAACATTTTACTGGTAAAAAACGGGGTCCCTTGGGAAAAAGGTTGGGAACCACTGGGTTAAAGTGAATATTCTTCCTGTAAGTATTCTTTTCAGATCTTAAACGACACCAGATCAGTAATTGTTGAATTTACTGTTAATCTAGCAGTATGAACCCAGTAATGTCACCATATTATTATTAATGGTTATAACATTTTCACTTCACACACCGCTCTAAGCATCTGAGGGAGCACTTGGGACCATCCTCTCTTTATAACTCAAGGTCACAGCCGCTCTGCGACGCTTGCGAGTGGTGTCAGACGCTACAACACCTCAGACGTGGAACGTCTACGTAGCAGACCCTGGCAGCATCTCATGGCCGGTGACATCTGACCTCTGAGGCAGCTGCCACTCTGAGATCCTATGAGCCATTGTGTCCGGTGAACTCGCCGCCCTGGCCGCTTCTTCTCTGGAACCCGAGAGCAACCGTCACATGAGGGGTATCGTAGACGACAGGATGGTGTTGGATGGT